AGTTCGTAAGTAGAGGCAAGTTCGTAAGTAGAGGTAAATTTTTGGGGCCGGAGCTGGTTGTATCTCGAAAATTTCGTAAGTATAGGTACCACTGTACTTAAAAGTAAAAAAACTTCTAGGGAAAATATTATATTTGAGGAATATAAACATAGTAGAGGCATAAAATATAGATGAGTAGACCCTTGAGAATTTAAGCTGTTATTAGAGAAAACTGCATGTAAAGTTTCTAATTAAGATGTACATTTATAGAAAAAAAGAAAAAGCTCTGTTCTGCTAAATAATCTTGTCAAAGATTTTCTCCATATCTTTTAATATAATTGATGGAAGTTTTACTCTATACAGTTTGAAATGCTCACTGGTACTCTACCTTTCCAAGGGAAAGACAGAAAAGAAACCATGACTATGATTCTCAAGTGAGTACACTCTTATTTATATGTCTCATCCAGATATTCTACTGAGGGTGCCCTCTGGGTTGCAATAACTAATGTCTACTCTTTCCTCATTTTGAAAGTTACTCATATATCCTAAATGCATATTTCATATGTCCAGCCTTCTCCAACAGAAGTTTAATACATTCAATTCAGTGCTTTAAGATTTGATGTAACTATCTAGCCCTTTTAATTCACCAAATGTATCATGCTATATTCTATCTCTTGTTCATGTTGTTGTCTTCAAAACACTACTGGTGTAATCCAACCTTGAATAATTTTCTCATGTATTCAGTTTGTTAACACTGAATAGGTGAGGAACAAGGTTTTTTCAGTGCTTATTCCTACAGCCTCTCCTGATTCTTGCATACCAACCTAATTTTAAAATATACCTGATTATTTGATAAATCAGTATTTGACTGCTAATATTTGCTCAATTTCTGGTAACTTACTGTATATGATATATGTATATGTATACCATCTTGTCAGACTTGACTCCTGGTGACTGCCTGGATAAATCATGCAATTTTTTTGGCAACATTTTTTTGAAGTGCCTGCATGATGTGCAAGATATACTACACACTAGGTTCATGAGATATTCCTTGTTATACTTCATGCCATACACAGTAATAACTTTTAATTCTTCAGATACTAATCCTGTATTCAGGAACTTTCTTTTAGCAGAAGCTCACAGAAAGAATATGAAGAACTCTAGAACAGAGAAATCAGGCTTTATGTGGTATATATTTCCATTCCATAGTTTAGGTCTTTTCCTTCCACCTTTTAGAATAAAGGGAAATTTGGCTATTCTTTTCTAGACCTTGAGACAGGGAGACATCTTCTCAATATTTACATAACCATTTTGTCTGACTAAGCACTGCTGCTCCCATCTCACCAGTTTTAGATGTTACATTCTGTTACATTGCAGAAAGAGATATTTTCATTATCCTTCAGTTATATTTAAACCCATTAGAAATTTGACCAGGATAATTTACTTTTCTATTTCTATGCCTCTCTTTAATAGCATTTCTTTCATTTTAACTGACACTTTATTATTTGGTACATCATTTTACAATATTAGCTCAACCTCTGAAACACGGTTCTTAGTTCAGCTACTTAGCCTGTCCCATTGCCACCACCCTTAGAATGTGTAGGCTGGGAATGTGAATGTGTATGTACTTTTTTAGGCAGTTGATATTGTATTGTTGTCTGAAAGCCCAAATTCATAAAGATAGTTCTCAACTTATGACCACAATAAGGACCACAAAATTCATTGTTATGCGGTGTAGTCATTAAGTGAGGCATCATGTGATCGCACCTGATTTTGCGACCTTTTTTGCTGTGGTCATTAAGCACAGTTCCCCACTGACTTTGTTTGTCAGAAACCATCTGGGAAGGTCAAAAATGGCAATCACGTGATCCCGGGATGCTGCAACTGTAAATACATGCTGGTTGCCAAATGTCCAAATTTTGATCACGTGACCATGGGGATGCTGCAATGATCATAAGTGTGAGGACCAGTCATAAGTCACTTTTTTCAGCACTGTCATAACTTTGAACGGTCACTAAACGAATGGTTTAGTGTCGAGGACTACATGTAGTGAATGTTAGATTGAATGATGTAGCAAGAAGTATGGATCTGAAAATGAATCAAAGACCAAAGTAGTTGTATTTCACAGGGAAAAGGAGGTGAACAATTGGAAGTTATACATAAATCAAACAAAGAGAATGTTATTTTTAACACACATCCTAGCATGGCATGGTCCAACCACAGATAAAACCTAAACAGGTTTAGGTTTTGCCTAAAAATTACACAAAAGCAATAAAAGTAATATGCTTCATGGCATACTTAAAATCACAGTAAGAATAGCACTATAAAATTATAAAATTATTATAAATTCTATGCCTACCAGCCATCTTACTTTATTAATAAGATGTACAGAAAAACAGCCCTACTAACATTCTCAGCATTGGCTCACAACCACTTCCGCCAGTTGGCTTTATTAAATAAAAAAAATTCAAATCATTCTTCAGTGCACCCAAAGTTGCATGGAGCCAGAGTAGAAGGGAAGAAAATTTCTTAAAAATGGACTCAGGTTTTGAATGCAAATAAGGTGCAGCAACATGCAGAAAGGTAATACAGGTATGAGTTACAACCATTAATTCAGTGACAGTTCGAAGTTGTGAACTTTGTTGAGTGGTGCTCAACAAAGGGACTTATGACCAGTCCTCGAAGTTCCTGCTGTTGCAGCGCCCCCAAAGTCACATTAACAAAATTCAGGTGCCTGGCAACCAGCTTGCGCTTATGACCAGTTGCAGCTTTCCATGGTCACATGATCACCATTTGTACCCTTCCCTGCCGGCTTCCCCCAAGCAAAGTCAATGGGAAGCCAGCAAGCAAGATTGCAAGTCACTGGGATAAATCTCCCCCCTGCCTTTCTTCACTCACACTCATGAAGCCCTCCTTCCCCCCCTCACTTGTAACCCCTCACTTGCAACTGGCGAGAGCGGGATGGGGGTAGTGCATCCATCCTTGCTTGACCTCTCGGCGGCTTTCGATACCATCGACCATGGTATCCTTTTGGGTCGGCTGCAGGAGTTGGGGCTGGGTGGCACAGTGTTGTGCTGGTTCAGCTCTTTTCTCCAAGGCCAAACCCAATCGGTGTTGATAGAGAGTGAGAGTTCCAACCCACGGCCCCTACTCTGTGGGGTGCCTCAGGGTTCGGTGCTTTCACCGCTCCTAATTAACATCTACATGAAACCGTTGGGTGAGAACATCCGGCACCATGGGATGAGGTATCATCAGTATGCTGATGATACCCAATTATACATCTCCATCCCAGGTGACCCAAGTGATGCTGTGACTACCCTCTCGTGCCTGGAGGCTGTAGGGGCCTGGATGGGGGTCAACAGGCTTCAGCTGAACCCTGGTAAGACGGACTGGCTGTGGGTACAGGGAGCCTCAAGATCGAGGAGTTTATCCCCAGATAGACCCAGTGCATAATCTGGGGGTCCTCCTGGACTCACAACTCCTGTTCGAAAAGCAGATGGCAGTCGTGGCTAGGACGGCCTTTGCGCAACTTCGTGTTGTGCGGCAATTACATCCCTTCCTCAATCAGGAGGCCCTCTGCACGGTCACTCATGCTCTGATCACCTCCCGGTTGGATTACTGTAACATGCTGTACATGGGGCTACCTTTGAAGAGTATCCGGAAGCTACAGCTGGTGCAGAATGCGGCAGCGTGGACAGTTCTGAATGCCCTAGGAGGGCACATACAACACTGCTGTTATGCGAGCTGCATTGGTTACCAGTTTGCTTCCAGGTCCAATTCAAGGTGTTGGTCATCACCTTTAAAGCCCTTCATGGCATAGGACCAGGTTATCTGAGGAGCCGTCTTGCCCCGGTTACTCCAGCCCAACCCACCCGGTCCAGCAGAATGGGCATGTTGCACACCCCACTGGTCAAGGAATTTCGACTGGTGGGGTCTAGGCAGAGGGCCTTTTCTGCTGTGGCCCCCACCCTATGGACAGTTCTGAATGCCCGGCGTACCCCCACTCTCATGGCGTTCAGGAAAGGGGTGAAATCCTGGCTGTGCCAGAAGGCCTGGGGGCCAGATGGGGGCTCGCACTAGTGGAGGTGGCTTGTGGGGTGATTGACCTTGCCCCCCGTCATCTTGAATGTTTTTAGTATTTATATACAGGGTTTGTTGTCAATATTTAATTTTTAATGGATTTATTTTAACTATTTATGGGGCATTTTTAATTGTTGATGGGGTTTCTGATTTTAACTGTGAGCCACCCAGAGTCACCCGTTGGGGGGAGATGAGCGGCATACAAATTTAATAATAAATAAAATAAATAACTCCCACACACACACCCTCATTCCTTGGCCTCCTTGCGCTTGCACACACACACATGTACATATCCCGCACCCTCTTTCCATGGCCTTCCTTTCCTCGGCCTCCCTGTGATCATGCACACACACATACCCTGCACCCTCTTTGCTCAGCCTCCCTGTGCTCATACACATGCATACATGTGCCCTCTTTCCACGGCCACCTTGCAATCGCACACACACACCCCGTGCCCTCTTTCCTTGGTCTCCCTGCAATCGTACGTACACACACACATGTACCCCACAACCTCTGTCCATGGCCTCCATGTGATCATACACACCCTGCACCCTCTTTCCTTGGCCTCCCTGCAATTGCATGCACCCTGCACCCTCTTTCCATGGTCTCTCTGCAGTCACACACACACATGTACCCCGTACCATTTTTCCACAGCCTCCCTGTGCTCATGCCACACTGAGCACCCCCTCCCGACATACACACAGCCTGTGCTGGGCCTCCCAGGGCCTCCCCCCATGACACCCCCATGCTCCTTACTTGGGACTTCCTCTGTTTCCCACTTAACACTTCCTGCTTAACGACCTGTGTGTCTTGGGTTACCACAACAACCAGAACTGCCTGGATTGTGGTCACTAAGCAATGCGATCACATGATATCATGCTTTGTGACCGCATGACTTAGCGATGGCAATTCCAGTCCCAATTCCAGTCATAACTCAAGGACTACCTGTAGAAAAAAGCCCCTGTGCCACTGACTGTATAGTCTAAACAGGATCCTACCAAGTCAGGAGCTGGGACAGGTAGTAAGTAAGGCTAACTGAAGAGCCTTAAACACTACCACCAAGAGCTTAAGTTAGGCTTTCTTCTTAATAGAGAGCCAGTTTAAGACTCTGCGGCAGGTGGAAATGTAGGAAAAATTAGAGTTCCAGAATAATGCATACTGAAACTTCTGGACTGAGGTCAGAGAGAGAACAAAAGAAGGCCTGCCTGTAGACTGTTGTAGTAGTCCAGACAAGAGACCACCAGATCCTGAACTTAGAAATGTCAGGAGATGGAAACTGTTGAATTTGGCTGATGTTCAATAATTGAAAAAGACTCGCTCTCTCAGTTTCTGCTAAAAACGGCCAAAGGGAGAGCACATTATCATCAATTGGCAAAAAATTAACGCAAAATACAAAGTGTGTAGTTAGACTGTTTAGTAAAGATGGGAGAATGATGGAGAAATTTTAACTTGTGCAAATACTGAGAGAAGGATAATGGATAGTGTGAGATAAGGAATGAATGAAGTGAAAATGCTGTATGTAAGAGCGTATTTCTGCTCACCTTATTATATGAAAGTTAGAGTTAGATCAGGAGAAACAAAGTAAGTCAAATGCAGCGTGAACAGTGTATTTAAGGAATATATGTGGGGGAAAAAGAAGAGAGGGTCAAGAATGAGTAGATGCTGAATGAATGAACTTAATAACTTTTTATTTAAATAACAAAAACATTGCTAAAGAAAATGTGTTCAAGTTCTTTATGAATGTGGTGGAAACAAGGATAGAAAAGCATGAAGTATAGTGAGTGATGTAAACTTGATTTGGCTATATTTCTTGTTTTCTTATCTCATGCCTTTAATTTCTTTGGCTTACTATTTCTTACTCCTTTCTGTGCTCTGTATGATGTTGCTTATTTGCGCTCACAAGATGGGCAGCCATATAAATTGATTAAAATAAAATAATGATTAATGCTGCCATTTTATGGCTTTCTATGAGGCTTTCAACTATTATTTCCAGACAATAGGCAGCATCCAATGTCATAAGAGCAGAAATTTCCTCACTATGTTCTGTCTTTCACTCTTCTGCCTCTCTTTACCCTCTCCCAATCTGCTGTGGAAGATCCTTGAACCATCCCAACTTGACCTGAAGCTCATATGATGACAGGCTGCAGAATAGTGAAAAATCATCCTAGTCAGTGGTAGAAACAGTGAATATTAATACCAATTATTTAACCTCCAGACAATATACTAAAACAGGTGAACATGGATTGGTACTGTTTATGTTTGTAAACTATTAATATGTTTTTCTTTTACAGGGCCAAACTTGGAATGCCCCAATTTTTAAGTCCAGAAGCTCAGAGTCTTCTTCGAATGCTTTTTAAGAGAAATCCTGCAAATAGATTAGGTAGAATATTAAATAAAGTTATGTAATTAAGATTTCAACAATAAATTAAATAATCATCTAAAAGTTTTTTGCTACTGTTTTTGTTAATAACCTTTAATAGGAGCAGGTCCTGATGGAGTTGAGGAAATTAAGAGGCATACATTTTTTGCCACAATAGACTGGAACGTAAGTATACCAATTAATAAAAGCACTATTATAAGAAATATATTTTATATATTTGTAATGTGTTAAAATTCATTTGTCTTAGAAATTGTACAGAAGAGAAATTAATCCACCATTTAAACCTGCAACTGGTAGACCTGAAGACACTTTTTATTTTGATCCTGAATTTACAGCAAAAACACCAAAAGGTAAGATATATACTATATCAAGGAAGTTTCTTCTTTAGTATATGCATGATTTCAACTTTTTGCTATGACACAAAGATGTACTAAGTTTCTTTTTTAAAAAGAAACTTTGCCATAGTGTTCATGCTATCATATGCAGTTCTTATATACTGAAAGAAATAATAACCTTGGCTTTGTATTATTTCCTTTCCATGATTTTATATTAAATGGCAAATATTTCTTGTAGCTAGACTTAAATGTATCGTGAGCCATCACATTTGTTTGGAGAAGCTATGCTTTGTATATTGCAGTTTGCCTGGATTTTGGAATTTATTTTCTTGAAAGTCCCATCTCTCTCTATTAGCCTTCCAGAAAGACATGGTTATTCTGTCAGGTATTTGACCTATCAGCCAGCTAAAATTCCATGTTTGAAAATTATTATAATTTACTTTATTTTCAACATCTATTGCTGTTATAGCTTATTTTTTATTGTGAACTGCCTTAAATATTTACAAAACTTATTAAACATACTTATCAATGTGTTCTTTTCAGATTCACCTGGTATTCCACCAAGTGCTAATGCTCATCAACTTTTCCGGGGTTTCAGTTTTGTAGCTATTGCATCAGATGATGAAAATCAAGCAATGCAGACATCTGGTGGGCATTCAATTGTTCAGGTGAATGTTCTTAATGAAGAACTTTTAGATTGGCTGTTGTCTAGGCCAATATTCACAGAACAAATATCACTTGTGTAGTTTTGAACGCAGATGGCTGCATGTAAAACACCTGATGCAAAGATGTTTCATATGTGTGAAACTTACTTTGGAAGAATTACATTGTTGTTTTGTAAGTTACTTGTACAGCTGATGAACAATAAAAACTGTGCAGCAGCCTAGTTTGACATGACGTTCTGTGGATATGGTTTTTTCAATGTTGATTACAGCTTACAAAATCTCAAACACTAAAGGAACATAATCATTTCCACACTAGTGACTTCTAGCATCTTCTGGAGTTATCCAACCATCATTGTGCCAAAATAATAACAAAGAGGAGATGCTTTGCATCATTTCCACAACGGCTGAGTTGATGTTATGAAGATGCTGTAAGTTATTAGTGGGGAATTGCTTTTAGCATCTAACTCATTCCCTGGCAAAATAAACAAAGAAGAATCATACTACTTCTGCCTTTCTTGCTCTGTGGATATATTTTGATTCAAATTCATTTAAAACATTTATAAATGTTCATTATAGACATATGTTTTTCCCTGCTGTTTTTTATTAAAACATTTAACCACTTTTTTGGTATGGTTAACATCAGATAACTTTGTTCAACTTTTTGTCATAAAACAATTATTTATCTTCCTGTATATATTTCAACACTATTTAGTATGCCTGAACATGAGCATTCCAACAATAAAATAAAAGTTAGATTCATTTTATTTTAAATTTAAGGTATTTTGATACAAACAGCTAAGAGAACTCATTAATTAATAATGTTATTTTGGTAGCAGTTGCACAGGAACAGCATTCAATTTACTGACGGATATGAAGTCAAACAAGATATAGGAGTTGGATCCTATTCCGTTTGCAAGCGATGTATACATAAAACCACAAATATGGAATATGCTGTAAAGGTAATCACTGTCAAATTGTATCAGAAATATTACTATTAGTTGTGTTGTTGTTTAGGTGGTTATTATGGGTTGGGTTAGGAGGTTGAAAGTATATTTGAAATTTTGACTCTAAGAGAAGGGATAGGAGCTTAGAGACTTCTGTAGATGAAAGATTTTGAGGGTCAGAAGTAGAAAACTGTAAGAGGGTGAAATGAAGTTCTTTAATTTTTTTTTTTTTTTTTGGTGCCTTCAAGTCAATTTTTGCCTCCTGGCAACTGTCTGGACAAGTCCCTGCAGTTTTCTTGGCAAGATTTCAGAAATAGTTTGCCACTGCCTGCTTCCTAGAGCTGAGAAAGAGTGACTGGCCCAAGGTCACCCAGCTAGCTTCAAGGCTAAAGCGAGACTAGAACTCACACTCTCCTGGTTTCTAGCCCAGTGCCTTAACCACTGTCCCAAACTGGCTCTCTCTTTAAACTTAGGGGGAAAATATTAAAGCTGGTTGTTCTTATCAATTTTTTTTTTTTTTGGTGAAAGACCTAAAATGTAAGTTGTTAAAATAAAATTATTGATTAATATATATTTTCTCCTTTAGATTATAGACAAGAGTAAAAGAGACCCCACAGAGGAAATAGAAATATTGCTACGATATGGACAGCATCCAAATATTATTACTCTCAAAGATGTGAGTAGATAAAAAGATAGCATATTCATTGTACATCAGTCATCAATATCAATGTGTTATTTACATTCTGTTAGCTATCAGGTCAGAAAAGTAGCTAATTTTGTCCAGCATACATAATGTATCTATTCTGGCTCACCTCTGGAGCTGTGAACTGCAAACATTTTTCTGACCCAATACTTTAGCAGGTTGTTTACTTAGAAGACATAGGTTGAAAGAGGTGGACTGTTTTTCTGGCTGACAGAAGCACAGATCAGGGAATGAAATGATCAATCTTTGTAAATAGGCTCACAATCATCAGTATTATTATGTGATCTTAGGATATTAATGGATTTGTAATAAAATCAATGAGGATGGCTTTCTAAGGACCCAAGGTGGTGAATAGTGAGTGGCATCAGTAGACCCACAGGTTTGCCAAGCATGTCCTTGGTTCTTATACAAGTGGGACAGCCTAGGACATAATGGCAGAACTCTGTCTGCAGCTCTGCCCCCAGAGTTCCCCAGAAATAGGATGTATTGTCTTGTATAGACCATAAATGACAGGTTATGGAGCTGCAATAACAACAACAAAAAGGAAAATAATAAAAATATTATAGGAAAATATTTAGTTTCTGACTTCCCCCTTGTACTCCGATTTTTCAGTACCTGCTGGCATAAGCTTTAGAAACCATACTCTAAAGGTCTGTATTTACCTTGCTACATTATATGTACACACAAACAGGAAGTACATTTTCAAACACAGATGTAAACTTTTCTTGGCAGAAATGGATGTTAAAGGTATGGAATTTAGTTCTTCCTGAGAAATTAAAACATTAAAATAAATGGTTTTAAAATAAACAAACAAACATGTATCAGATGCATAAACATGGATGCCTGAGCTCTTTTATTTTTCATTCATTATATTCTGAGAGGATCTCTTTCCACTCAGCTATCATTTTGGAAGACATTATTTTAAAATGACCTTTTCACATTATTGATTGAACCATCAAACTTTGTTGTTTATTTTTCTTTCTGTATTTGTATGATATTTTATGTAATCATTTGGTCTTATTTCAATTTTAGTGATATTTTTTAACTGAGTTATTAATTCTTTATCTTGGGATATTTTCTGGATTCTTCAGATATCATAGACTGTTTCAGCTGATGGTAACCAGTCTTTTAAAGAGTATTTTGAGGTTGATCCAGCAGGTTCCATCTTCCTTTGTGAAATCATTTTGTGTATTACTTTCAATTGCATGATATGATTGAATATTTAAATGATGTTAATTTTCAGGTATACGATGATGGAAAATATGTGTATCTGGTAACAGAACTCATGAAAGGCGGAGAACTGCTGGACAAAATCCTTAGGCAAAAATTTTTTTCTGAAAGAGAAGCTAGTGCTGTCTTATTGACAATTACAAAAACTGTTGAATACCTTCATGCACAAGGGGTAAGTGTTTTTGTCAGGTACCTATTTTTAAAATCATTATCTGTCAGACTTTGGCATCTGCCTCAAACTAAAGGTGATTCTATTCTACGAATTCTCACAAAGTCTCTTTAACAAGATTTATTGAGAATAAAGAGACTGGATTACAAGAACTCCAACTGAACTGTTTCCATCTAAAACCAATGTGTACCAAAGAAGGTTAGAGACTACTTTATTCTTCTGGCTGTTTTCCTGCAAAGCTGCAAACTGGCAGGTCTTTTCAGTGGTCATGAAGGCGCCTGCAGCTGATTTTTACGCAGTGGTCTCCTGTATTGTAGTACCTTTACCAGTTTGGAAATGAACCATTAGGTTTTCTGAATTCGTTTCTCTGATAAAAGAGGTGTGTTCTTTCATCACTTTATGTATCCAAAATAGATGTATTCTTTTATCATTTCTGTTGTATACACTAAAAAGCTGCTTTCCTATCCCTCCTTGATGCCTTTCCCATATTGTCTGGACATACGTTAATGAACTATAATTTGTGGAAAATGTCCAAACTAATGGAAATTCTACAGAATGCTTGCAGATATACATGAAAAGATTGCACCTGCTAAAATTAAAAATTAATGTGTTTAAGCTGAAAAGATAAAAGATGAAAACAGAAGTCACATTAATTATGCATATTAAGTATTTGAAAAAATGAATGGTCATGTTGGCATGCACAAAAACAGGACCACTCAAACTGTTGGAAACATCCCTTTGAATACTTTTTAAATATAAAAAATAAACAAGAATGTAAATAAGTAAGGTAGTATTCTATGCCTTTAATAGAAATTACAGTAATTTTTTGTTTTGTTTTTCTTAAGGTTGTACACAGAGATTTGAAACCTAGTAATATCCTATATGTTGATGAATCAGGCAATCCAGAATCTATTCGAATTTGTGATTTTGGCTTTGCAAAGCAGCTGAGAGCAGAAAATGGCCTTTTAATGACACCCTGTTATACAGCAAATTTTGTTGCTCCAGAGGTAAAATACGATTTATTTGTCCCTCCCTCCCTTTCAAAAAGCATGCAATCTGGTGATTCCTTTTTTTCCCCTTTTTTCTTTAAATAAATTTATTCATTTAAATTTGGAAAAATACAAAATATAGCCAAATACCCTAAAAATAAAACTAAACGGAATAATCCTTTAACTTAAAAAAAAAAGATAGAAACCATAAAAAGAGAAGGGAAACAAAACCAAACAAACTAAAAACATCAATGTAATGTTGAATTATATGCCAAAGCTTTGGAATCTGACTGTTTATTATATCATGGGGGGGGGGGCCGGTAAAAATTATATTGTGAAATTGGAAAAGTGATATTATTCCAGATGTTAAAGAATGGCTTTTGGAAATATGTAAGCTTATCAAAGGCTTTTTCTGCATCTAAAGATAGTTAGTATAGCAGTGTCCATTCTATACTTGCCTATATCCAGTATATCAATTAATAAACATATTGTCTGATGCCTGAGGACTTTTTGTAAACCCTGACTGGGAGTAATGAATTATTTGTGGTAAAACCTTCTGCAACCATCTACCCAGCATAATAGTTAAGATCTTGGTATTTATTTATATTTCAAATTGAGTCACCGCCCAGCTCACTCAAGAGCAACTCTGGGCAGTTTACAGTAAACAAGAATAAATATTAATAAAAATACAATAAAAAAAACATGTTCATATATAAATAATGGCTTCTAAGATACTGATAGTAAATAAAGGTTACAGGAGCATCTTCAAGGTGTCAGCCACCCGCAGGGTTGGTTGCCCTTCTTCTCGCCCCACACGAGTTGGCAGAGCCAAGTCTTCACCCCTTTCCAGAAGATTGGGAGAGCAGGGTCTTGCCTTACCTCTGGTGGGAGAGTATTCCATAGGGCAGGGCAATGGCAGAGAAAGCTCTCCTGGGCCCCACCAGTCGACATTCTTTTGTAGACGAAGTCCTTAACATACCTTCTCTGCCTGACCAGGTGGGACGGGCTGATGTATCCACCTTGATTAATGAAATAGGCCTATAACTAGCACAACATTTTAGGATCTTTACCTAGTTTTAAAATCACCCATATGTATGCCCCATAAAACAATGATGACAATTTAACATCCTAAAAAGATTTATTATTCACATCCAAAAGTATAGGGCCCAGCAAATTTGCAAATGCCTTGTACCATTCCCCTGAAAAGCCATCCAGGCCAGGAGCATTGCCATTTTGCAACAGCTGTTTAGAATCCATTTGTTCCTGAAATGACAGGAAAACTCTCCATAAATCAATATTATCTGATGATAAAAACTGAATATCCACCTGACTCAGAAATTGATCAGCTTCATATTGGTCCCCTTATTATCCAAACTGTATATTGACTTATAGAAAAGAAAAAAACTGATTATTAATGGCTTCAGAATCAAACACAATCTGGCCATTCTCAGTGACTATTTCAGAAATTCAGCTCTGTTGATTTTGTTGCTTCAAACTAACTGGCTTTTTCACCAGAATTCTAATACTTTATTCAACTGAATTCTACCTTACCAACATAAAAATCCTCTAACTGCAATTTAGCTAACAGAATTGCTTTATAAGCCTGCTGTGTGGGCTCTTTTATATAATCCAACAATCTCCCTTTAACCAAAATTTCTAGCTGTTGGTGCAAAAACATTTTTTCTCACTTCCTCATAGAAACATAAGCTATACAAGTAGTCCTCACTTAGCAACCACTTGTTCAGCGACCGTTCAAAGTTGTGATGGCTCTGAACAAGTGGTACTTACGACTGGTCCTCAAAGTTCCAGCTGTCGCACCACCTCTCTGGTATCATGATCACAGTCTGGGCACTTGGCAACCAACTCACACTTACAACAGTTGCAGCTCCCCATTGTCACACAGTAGTCATTTGCAACCTTCCCTGACAGCTTCCCACAAGCAAAGTCAATGGGTATCAGGCCCAGCCCAAGAACAACAATGGAACAGTCCTGTTGAGTTCAGTTCCTTTATTTGCTTACACCATTTAGACAGAATCTTGCCAGACTAAATCTATACTACTGCAACTAGTGGATATACCCTAGGAGATACTAGGAAATGGCTATCCTGAACCTCTTATGCTTCCCACACTCCACCTCTGGACTGTGTTGTCTTTTGTCTCCTTGCTCTTCCTGGAATGCACCCCCTCCTTCTGATAGCCTTGCTCTCTGCTGGAATCCACCACATCAACCTCCCCTTCGTAGGTACATTCAATCACAATGGGGAAGACGGCAGGGAAGGTCGTAAGTCACTCCCCTAAGTATCCCCCACCCAACAGCAGCCACCCCCAGGCCTGAAATCTTTCATGCATGCCACTGCAGCCACCTATGCCACTCTACCCTATCCAGCAGCAGCCCCCCCAGGCCCGAAATTGCTCAAGTGCACCACTGCGGCCATGTGCCACCCTTCTTCAACCAGCAGCAGCCATTTACCTGCCTAAGGGCCTGCTTGCAAACTGCCTGGGACTTGCAGCTTCCTGCCAGCTTTCCCACTGACTTTGGTTGTTGGATGCCTGCAGGAAGTTACGAGGAGGTCCTCACTTAACAACCCGCAATCCTTGCTTAACAGTGGGGATTGCTGTGATTGCTGTCACTAAGCGATGCAGTCATGTGACATCACGGTTTACAACTGCATTGCTTAACACTGGAAATTCCAGCCCCAATTACCATCATTAAGCAAAGACTACCTGTAGTATAATTTCACATGCAAGCCTTGTAAGTATATAATTTATTCAGCTCATGTAGTTATATATTCTTATCCAATGTGCCAATATCTTTACAAATGTTTAGCTATCTCAGAAAATAATTTGCCATTATTAGCCTTTGTAGGGTTACACATTGATTCCAATTTATCCATCACCTGAGGAGTTGATTAATCTTGAGAAGGATTCTCAACCCAGATTGAATTATATCAGAAGGCACAATAGGTGTTTCAGTTTGAATACCAAGAATTTCAGCAGTGGAAACTGTTTCATCTTGAGGTTTGACCATCAAGTCTAACACTTCAGTGGTGGAGGAGCTGGGAATTTTCTACTCAACTTTTTCATCTTCATTTTACAAGGCATAATTAAAATCAAAGATTATAAAAACCACTTAGTTCAGTAAAAACAAAACAAAACTCTAAAAAAGGCTCACCACAATATCACTCTGACTAAAGTAGTTTGAGGAGTGATCAAACGGGCAGCTACTTAGATCTCCATGCCACTGGAATTCTGCAGTCTGATGATTCCTATCAAGATAATTTAAGGTAACTTCTTAATCCTACATGCATTGGCCAAGCCTCAGAGTTCATGGGACATTCCTACCTTTTCCTTATTTTTAAAGAATTTGAGGCTGCTGGTCATACATAAAAGAAATCAAGAAATTGGATATGTGGTTTTTTACTTCTTGAATTACATGAGATGTAATTACATGAGCTGAATGAATTACATGAAATGGAGAAACAACTCTGCAAATGAATTTATCTAAATTGTTTCTTGTTTCATTTTGGTAGTATTATATTGATTACCCTTTATTTATGTGAATGATTTATTTCTATTTCTGTTTTCTTTCTTTGCTCCTATAGTGGTTGTACAGTGATGATTAAACATTTTTACTTCAGTGACAGAGCTTACATTGATTTAATAATTCAAATATTGTTTATTAAATTTGTTCTGGATAATTTGTAATGGATAAGGCAACTTCAGTTTCTCAGTGATTTTGTAGTAAAGGTAATATTTACAATTAAGATAATTGATTTTTCTGTAGAATGTAATTAATAATATCCTTTCCATAGGTGTTAAAAAGGCAAGGGTATGATGTGGCATGTGACATATGGAGCCTTGGTGTCCTTCTGTATACAATGTTGACTGGGTATGTTTGTATCAGCTTATTTTGTCCTGTGTTAATATATAAAAGTAAATTAGAGTTCTTGTAAGTAAGAACATTTTTAGAACAACTATGCCACAGAAATATTACTTACATAAACATATCAGCCCATGCTTTGTTAGCATCTGCTTGTGTTCTCTTCCTTTCTTATATTCCAGTCTACCATACTTCCTTATTCCTGCACTGTTCACATCATAGTTGTTTACATATGCAGGCTTATGTTTTCCTAGCATCTGTCTGAGACACAAATATTCTCTTGTGTTAGGCTCTCCCTATTAGCACTGTCTCATGTTTCTTAAAATTGATGCTAGTTTCTAAATGGTATTCCTTTAGATTTTTAAGGCTTGACATTTACTGAATTAGTTGCTAATGGAAACAAGCAATATAGATAATTGATAGATTGACTATTATTATTTGTTTTTATTCCTATTTGGAAACAAATTTGGAAAATTTGTTATTTATTGTTTTCTCTGTGATTTACACATGTGATTATCTGTGCCTATAATAAATTTTGCTCAAAATCTTCCAGATCTCAAGAATTTTGGCAGAATTACATTTTTCTGCTGACTGCATATGCAGCTAGGCTTGGCTTTTTGCTGGTTTGGATCTCAAGATATATTCTTCAGTTCTTTCTATGTGAATCTCTAAATTACCAGGCTTGCATGGCAAAATGCCAGGTAACCTCACTCTTTGTCCCTCTCCCAGGTGATAAAGAGACAATTAGCAGTTAGCACCCAGGATGCCAAGCAAAGTTGCTGCAAGATGGTGGCTAAGGTAATGGTTACCTCTATTGCTATCTGGCGCCATGCTTGGTTCCACTCCATAGATTTAACAGAAGCCGAAATCAGTATTGTCACATATTACTATGTAAACTGCTGAAGTTCAAAGTGAAGATGCAGCAGCTTAGATTTGTGGCATATTGTTTGGGCTTCTAGCCAGCTCTACATGTGTTTTACCAATCCTGATACCATTCCTCATTTGACAGCAGGCCTTTAGTTTCCATTGATGATTATCTGTCCTCCTAGCTTATTTCTCTCCCAGTTTTATGAAATCTTATACCAAATTGACATAAGTGGTCATTTTGACTGCATTCTTCCATTACCCCAGTCTTTGAGAGGTAGCTGACATGGTTTTGATGGTCCTGGTTTTCCATCACTCTGGAAAAGAGGGTTCTTTCTATAGTGACTTAAGTTGCCACTTGTAGTACTAAGTGCTTCTTCCCCCAGGACATCTGGCTTCAGCAATCACCTCCTCAGCCTTGTCTCATGAAGTAAAGTTCTCTAATGCAAAGGTGCTTTTGAGTCAATTCTTCATAAGGACACCATTTGGTTTCTATTTCAGATACTTTGCTATTCCATAATGATATGGAAGGCTTTGCCCTTTTCTCAGTTTGAGGGGTGTTAATTTCCTTCTCTCCCTCTCCCAATTCTAGATGGTTATCCTGACCGTAATCCTGCCTTTGTTGCACAAAGGCCTATGATTTGCATATGTTGCTCTGATAGATGTCAATATTCATATCTCTGTTGTCCCTTGGTATTGCTTGTATTTAGACTTGTTTCAGAAACTTTTCAGTTTTTATTCTTTCGTTTGACCCAGCTATAGCCCCTGAGTGTTTACTAAGTATATGGCCATAATGGTAGCCATTTATTCCTACCTAGATGATTGCCTCATGGTGGGGACATCTAGGTATTCTTTGAAATAGGACACTGAACAGTGTCTTTTCTGGCCTCTTTGGCACTGTATTAATGTTGAGAAATCTCACTTTTCCCCACTTTTCATTTGGGGCCAATCTGGATATGCCTGGAAGGCTTCTCAACTGACAAGATAAATATAATTCAATATATGGTACTGAATTGCTGGATCATTATCACCTATAGGTTATTGTCTTTTAATATATAATCTCTGCCCTTGATTATTCCATTTGCCCAGCTTTGGGTACTTAAATGGTATATTCAGAATGGTGCATTCTGTGGAAAAATGGTTCATCATCTCATTCCCATTCATTGTATATTGATTTTGTCTCTTGGTTCCAGAAGAGGTACTAGGTTTACTATTGTGGATTTGTTTAGGCAATCTATTGATTGGTGTACCATTTGCTCCTCTTCAATAGTTACCACTGATGTGTTCTCAACTGACTTGGAAGCCCTCTGCTGATCTCTACAGATTCCTAGAACTTTGTCTCCAGTAGAGAAAGTAGTATCACATCTGTGTATTAGCTTTGTTGGCAGTGTGCAAGACACTCTGCCTTTGTGGTCATGCTCAAGCCTAGACTTGTAAATTGTAACAAACAATCCTATTATGGTCCTGTACACCAACAAACAAGAGAACCAGATGGCACCCTTCTGCCTTATTCTATATCTCTGAGACTAGTGTGTGGATTCAGTGAGACACTTTGTTTTTTTAGATAGGCCACCTTTTCTATATACTCTGACTGATCCAATTGCTGAACTGAGTTACAGCAATAAACAATTAAATATGTGGATATTGTCTTCCTGTCTGTACCAAGTAGCCTATTTCAAAGAGATCTTCATCTCTCCTGCTTCTTTATGGACCACAAAAGGAGAAACTCCCTTAGCACACTCAAAATAAATTACCACAACAATGTGGTGCACTAGAGAAGGGCAAAGCAGCCTTGTCATTGAGTGGTAAAGGAATTTGACTAGGCCAGTTGCTATATAGATGGTCGTCCTGCAGAACACTTTGTTCATTTAATAGATTTATATCCTATCTTTCATCCAGGAGCTCAAGGCACCAAGCTGTTTTACTTATACAAACCTGTGAGAGAAGGTAGCTGGCCTAAAGTCACCCAGCGAGTTTCCAAGGCTAAGACTAAGGCTAACCTAGAACACTTTAATCACTACACTGTAGATACAACCACTGATCTCATTAGGCATTACCAATTGTATTTTTAAGTACAACAGGAGTCAGACTTTGGCAAAGCAGTGCTGTCACCCATCATTTAGTAACCACCTGCCTGCTTCCAGATAAATGCTACTACCCATTTGTGTAAAACCACAAAGACCATAGGGAAGAAGAGCAGGTTATTTGACTTTAACTGTGATACTTCAAATGATTGTGCAGCTTCTTTCTTTTAATCTGTATTGAGTTTTCAGTGTCAGGAACAAAAGGGTGAGTAGGAACTGCACCAAGGGCATGTAAGTAAGTGGAGAGGGGCCTCTACCAAAATTCTTGACCTCTGGAAGATTCTGAACAAGTTTTGTGTATAAAGTCCATTTGTGTTAATTCATAGGTGACTACTTGAAGAATCAAAATTATAAGTAAATAGTCAAGTATACTTACACTATCTGAAATATCTGCTCAGGCAGAAGTTTCCTCACAGGCTGTACTACAGTAAAAAATAGTTTATATAAACCTCAGATTCATTCCTGTTCTTGCCTTAACATTTCTGTTAACAAATATTCTTCTGTTAGGTTCTAGGTCACCTATTAAGTGAAATATGTAAAGGTCATTGCTTCTGTGTGGCAGATACATATGTTAACTCCTCAGTCTATACTTCATACCTATTTTTAAGGAAATATGTGAATTAAAATAAATGTCCTTCCACTGGATTTGTTATAAAATAACACACAAGCTACTACTTATTTTGCAATAAAACTGCATCACATATGGAGAAAATATATACTTATTGTTAATAATTTTCAGAGAATTCAGTTGCCAGAATTCATACCACTTTTAAAGCTGTTCTGAACAAGTTCAATACTGCTACATGTAATACATTACTTTTGCTTCCTAAGCCTTTTTAAAAAGCTTTTTGTTCAGTTAGTAATTGGCAAGAAGTTACGTATTCTCATCTAAAATTGTTTCTACAATTTATATTAAGTATTATTTTAGTGTCATGTCAATTGTGATAATGGAAATTCAACAAAGAGTTTTTAAAAATATGTTAAAATAATTGTCTTTATTTAGTTATACTCCCTTTGCAAATGGTCCTGATGATACTCCAGAAGAAATTTTGGCACGAATAGGTAGCGGGAAGTTCTCTCTCAGTGGTGGATACTGGAATTCTGTTTCAGAAACAGCAAAGGTATGTTAGTCATTGTTCTTGAGTGCCCATTAGGTAGGACAGGATATAAATCAAATAATAAGTATTATTAATAATAGCAAGTTGCATCATGTCTTATGGTTTTCTTTCTTTCTTTCTTTTTTTTTTGTACCTTCAAGTTATTGTTGACTCATGACGACTGCCTGGACTTATCCGTGCAGTTTTTTCGGCAAGATTTTGGAAGTAGTTTGCCATTGCTTGCTTCCTAGTGCTGAACTAGAGTGACTAGCCCAAGGTCACCCGGTGGCTTTCTGCCCAAGACAAGACTAGAACTCACCCAGTGCCTTAACCACTACACCAAACTGGCTCTATAGTATCATTACATATAGTGAAACAAATTCTGTTTAATTAGTTTATTATAAAAGAAAATAGGCTGTAACTAGGGATAGAGTTCAACAGTTTATAAAACCTTCCGCTAACATTAGTGATTGAAGTAATTTGCTTTTAGTATTTTGTATGTGTGCAGGAGAAGGGATGCCACAGAAATGGCCATTCTTAGTTCCCATGCTCAATATTTGGTTCTTTTATTACCTGTTTTCTTTTTTTACATCCCTTATCTCCATTTACACAATTAAGTATAATAGCTTAACAGGGCAATCTATCAACAGTATAGAGCCATTCTTTTTTTGAAGGAAGAGGGAATACACACTGATAGAGTTTCTGTTTTCCAAATAGTGGGGAAAAAAACCCCTTTGTGTTAATTCTTGTGATGACTGGTTAAATAGAACATGTCACTTATAGATTTTTGAACCAGTACATCACCTCTCATTTGATTTCCAAGTAAAGGAGTATTATATCCACCATATACTTAGTCTGTCCTTGTGTTCCAATAAGTCATTTTTACTAAACCAATTAAAAGACTCCCAAATCAGGAAATTGTTTGGTATGGAAGCTATACTAAGAGAAATCTTATATAATTTCCAAAAGAACATATTTCATATTATTTTTTAAGAACAGCCTATAATCCTATTTGAAAACTAACAATATAATTTTCATATGCTTCCTACCTGAAAATAATGGGAAAACAGGGATCCAATTATCAGTTCTGTTGCCAGATTTTACATGATGTTCAGAGGGGGCTAACATCACTGGGAAAAAAAGGGGCACTTGGGGATGGGAGGGTCACAAGTTGGGTTCACAGTGACCCAAGACAAACCCAAGGACTGAGAAATCCTCACTATTCTGAAATGTTGCTAAATATGTCTGAATTATGTCTATCCTTTTATTATTTTAATTATCCTTATTTTGTTTGTTTCTTATCTGCCTTGATATAATTTGTTTGTCCAACCTCATATATGAAGACATTACTCGAAAGATGAATGATTTTAAATACTTTATCATCTGTATGCACAAATAGTGTGATGCTTAAGATTCAGAATCTTTTCTCTTGCAGACTTTATAAAGCTTGTTCAATTTAACTAATTGTTTACAGGACTTAGTTTGGAAAATGCTTCATGTTGACCCTCATCAGAGACTGACTGCTGCCCAAGTTCTAAGGCACCCATGGATAGTTCACTGTGATCAGTTGCCACAGTACCAACTCAATAGGCAAGATGCTCCACATCTTGTGAAGGTAAAACAACTCTGTGCATACCATTCCTCAGAGTAGCCCTTTATGGCACAGCAATGGCATATACCAGACAACTGTCAAGTTTAGCCCAAGAACAACAGCGAGACAGTCCAGAACAGTTTAGCTCCTTTATTAGCTTGCACCTAATAGACAGAATCTCACCAGACTAATTCTAATCCCCAACAACAGCCACTATAATCATGATGCCCTAGGGAGGGGCCAGTCTCATCCTCTTGACTTCCCCACAGTCCAGCTGGGGGCTGAGGAGGTGCTTCCCCTGGAATTTCTCTTCCCCCTCCTGGCAACCTCCATTCCAGAATCCTCCCCGCTCATGCCATCCATCATAACAAGGTCTTATCAGAACTGAGTATGCACACCTGGTCATCTAGAGAAAGCCTGCTAAGAATACCACCCTGCTGAGAAGTGCATGGAAGTAGATTAGGTGGCAGGTGTCTCTGTAGTAGCCCCCACTCTGTGGAACTCTTCCCCAGAGGTAGACAGACTGCAGCTGCATGGTGGCACATATTAGAGGAATTAATCTGCAATTTTTTTTGTCTTTTGTAATTTGGTTTTTTATTTGTAGGCCATGTAGAATCCTTTGCGATTGGAGTGGGCTATAAAAATTGTTAAATAAATAAATATTCTATTTGCTGCATTTTCATCTGCAGTTACCCCCTTATTTTTTTTTCTATTACAGGTGGTCCTTGTTTAACAACCACTCATCCAGTGACCGTTCGAACTTGTGATGGTACTGAATGAATGGTACTTATGACCGGTCCTCAAAGTTCCGGCCATCACAGCATCCCCATGATCACATGATCCTGATCTGGGCACTCAGCAACTGGCCTGTATTTCCAACCATTGTAGTAACCCTCAGTCACATGATCGCGATTTGCGACCTTCCCTGCTGGTTTCCCATAAGCAGAGTCAACAGGGAAGCTGGTAGGAAGTCTGAAGTCACAATTATGTGAGATCCTCACTTAATTATCTGTGCTGTCCTCGTTTAATGACGATAACCAGGGACTGCCAGAACTGCCATCGCTAAGCAGTGCAGTCACATGACATCACACTTTACAACCGCATTGCTTAGTGACTGAAATTCCAGTCCCAATTCCAGTTGTTAAGCAAGGACTACCTGTACTGTTATCATTTCCATTTCTAACAATGCTTTTAAATTTGTGTATTTAAGATTTTCTTAGTCTAATGATCCTTTAAAGGCATTTTCCCTATAATAAATCTACCATCTCTACCCTATTGGTTTATAGGAAGGACATTAAAACTTGGCTGTTCAAACAGGCCATGGGAGTTAGGACATTTTAATATAGTTCCTTTTGGCTTTGGAGTATTTGTCTAATATAACTGATATTCCCAGTGTTATATATAGAGAGATAATTTTCTGTTGTAATTTTGTTATTTTTTTAACCTCATTTATTGATGTCATATATATATGCCACTGAGAGATGTCAACAATTGGAACAGCATGTAAGCCCAATGAATAAATAAATAGGTCCTTTTGATGTTTTTCAAAAGGCAACTTATTGCTATTACATATGAGTTTAATAAAACTATACATACTTTGTATTTTTTTTGTTTCCAAATCTAAGCTGATAGGATAAAAATGTAAAATGCTTAATAAAAATTAGAACATTTAGAAACCATTGCTACCAAAGGCAAATACAGTACCCCAGGGCAGATAAATTGGTATCTTATCATCTAACTGTACATAGGCAATTGTAGCTTCTGCAAGATTATGATTGTATGATATTTGCACAAACACTCTCTTCTTCCTGTTTGAGAACTGCCGGTAGCATTAAATAAGAGCAAGTCCAAATCATATTTGTGAGAGTAGAGAAGTATACAATGCTAGAATGTTGTCAACTAATATTTTAAATAATTGGGCAATGTTGTTAACGCATGCTTCTGCTATTATGGATATGGGGAGCAAAACATAAAGGCAGAGACATGCTGCAGTGTAGATTAAGATAAATAATTTTGTGCATTTTAAATATTAAAATACCACATTATTAAAACCTATTGCTTGTTTAAAATCTATAATATGGTCATTTAACATATAATCCAGAATTTTAAAAATCCTTTTATTCTTAGGGTGCCATGGCAGCTACATACTCAGCATTGAATCGCAATCAGTCACCAGTTTTGGAGCCAGTGGGTCGTTCTACGCTTGCTCAAAGAAGAGGAGTAAAAAAAATTACCTCAACTGCCCTGTGAAATGACCTCATCTAAAAAAATTGGTACCACAATGAGTTGATAGCACAAATTATGGCAACAGGTAGCACATGCCCCAATTACCTGAAAGCACACTCTTCCAGCTGGTACTGTTATGCTGCTGCTCCTGCTTTCATCTTTTGAAAACTCTTAAAGACAAAACATTCTCCTTCAGGTGGAGGAAAAAGTGGAATCAGTGGAAAAAGAACTATTAATGGAAATAATTATGAACACCTCTTGTTACAATAGATACACTGAAGAAAGCACTCTGCACCATATAGCATTATTTTTATAGGGAAAGTTTTTCTCCCTTTAAAATAATTATTTGATACATGTAAGGATGGACAGTTCATGTTAAGCACTTACCTTAAAATATGTTTATATTAGCACTGTGTAATTTGTGCCATCCAGCGTTTTATATGTTTTGTAATCTTTTCCTAACAGTACACTTCTGTACTGTTTCCTTCTCTTTAGACTAATTGATTTGACAATTAAATCTGATTAAAATGTTAATCAGTATGGTTGGACATCTCTAAAACAGCTTGACTGTTAAACAGCTATTGAATGTAATTCTGTGAATGTGCATTTCCTTGCCTGGGTCTTCCCATGGACACGTTGTTAGAAATCTTGGGAATAGAGCTGTTAAAGCATTTAATGGTATAAATGGCATCTTTTAATCATGTATGTGGTTTGCTATGTATGGAAGCAAAAAGGGTCTTCATATCTTCATAATGAGTGTCTTTTTATGGACCTCAGAAACCATTACAAAATGGTTTAACTTTGGTTCAGCTGATGTTAATTGTAACTGGTCTTTCTTTGTTGCTTTAACAGCAAGAGTATTTATTGCACAGTGCTGATCAGAAAATGGGGAGGGCAGGAATGTAATGTTTAAGCTGAAGTAGTACATTGTCCAATAATAATGATGTTAGATCATTTTTGTGGCTAAAAAATTACTAACAGCAGGTCTGTTGTACTTGGGCCACTTTCTGTCTACAGACAAAAGCAGCATTGAATACAAATTGAATGGAATGTGCCCCAGTGTCTTCAACCTGTTTCTAGTGGCTCTGCCTTCAAAGTTTGGCATGTCCATAGATTACAACCTTGGTGAAGAATGGTGTACAATAAGATGCTAAGGTTGCAATCTTAAACACACATACTAAACATAATGGAAACTACTTCTGAGCTTATTTTTATCGTTTTTATGGAAAATGGGGAAAACTTTCACCTCTTCAAATTGTCTTGGGATACTTCTGTGAAATTCCGAACTTTTATGTACTGCAAACTATAGTATGCTGAAGAAATGAAGAATTTTGGGTGGATCATCAGAATTCTGCCAAAGAAATTACTCTTTATACAGTAGTAATACTTCTCCATTGTCTTGCATTTTGCCAATAAGTTAGTCTCCAATCAGTGTGGTAGACATAAGCAAAGTAGGCAATGAAATATATCTTTTTTTTTCCTATCAAATGCTCATGATCTCTTTAATCACTGGGTCCTATGGTTTCCTTGTCTTCCTTTTAGTTCACATTAATTTGTAGTACTTTCCAGGGTTTCACCTCATGTTTCTGCCTTACAAACTCATGCAATTGTTTCAGGTTACCAGAGTTTTATTTATACTGTAATTCTTTTAAAATCCTTTTCACACACTAGTTCACAAATAAGTCTTTGCTTGTATAGATGCTGCTAATTAGCCACCAAGGGGCCTTTATTTCTTACTGTTGGTTATATGTTGGTGTTTTAAAATGCTATTTTCTTCTGTCATGCTTGAAAATATTTGTTAATAATTTTGCTACGTGTTGCTTCAAGACTTCACTGCAATGACAGATCCTGAATTGGTGGTATCCTAACCATGACATGAATTTTATAAAGTTAAAGGACAGCTGTTCAGGACATTTATCTGGCCACTTCATAGTGCTATAGTAACATAGGCAGTTATTCATATGATTTGGATTATTCCACATGAAGTATATGGGCAGGGGCTGTTTCTTAGGTTTGGATGGATGGAAATATATGATTTTATCTGTTGCAATTTTCTAACAGATACCTATTTTTAACACTTTGAACTTCAATAGTTTTCAACCCTAACCAAAATATTTATCACAATTTATCAGTGCCATGATTTCCCTAAAGCATCTATGGTGCACTTTACAACTATGTAAAGAGAAGTTCTGGGGTGCTTTTGGAGTTGTAAAGAAGATACAATGTTGAGCTTTTTCAGATGGATACCTTATTTTGACTTCTATAAACATATGCACTAATTGTTGTTGAACATGGGTTAAATCTACTGTAACAAGGATGTTGAAATGCTTGTAGCTGTTGCTAAAGCTCCAGAAATTTCACAAAATGCTGAATCCATTTTGGAAGAAGATAAAAATCTTTGCTTTTAGTTAATAAGCAAAAAGCAGAAATATATCATAAGGCATATTGTATATCTTAAACCTTGGGAAAATGAATCAATTATTTGCAGTAGTCTATTGCCCCACTTCTTTTTATTTCACTTTGCTAACATATTTCGTTGTCTTGCATGAAAATTATTCCTGTCTCAGTGTGCGTGAACAATTTTTAATAACCTGCTTCCAATATCAGATGTTTTAAAGATGCTATTCATGTTGGACTCATGCAGTCAGTTTTATAATTAACAATATCTGCTTCTGTAGACAGAAGATTTTTATTTCATTTAACATTATTCTGCAAGAAATATATGTAGTTATACATATGTCTCTCTATATACATATTTATAAATGTATATTTATATTTATACAATTATATGTATAAATATATATGTCCACACACAAAATGTTTTCTTTACAAAATAATTTTGAGTAGCTGGATTAAAATATATATATATTCATATTGCATATATAATCAGTTTATAGTCCTAGACCACTTTGTGATCTTAAATGCAATGGCTAGAGAATACATACTGGTGAGCACATTGGAATTTACCTCTAAATAAACATGCAGATGTTTTTCCAGTTGGATTGCACTGGAAATTTTAGATTTCATCTGACAATAAAATTTCCATCTGCCCCTAGGAAAAATTAAATGAATTACTTTTCGTAGGCAGAAATCATTCCTGTTTTTACCTTATATAAAGCAATCCTTTATGTAGGTCATGTTTACATTTAAGAAAGGACAGTTCACTTAAACATTGATATATTTACAGTAGTTCAATCATATTGCTCCAAGTTACTTAAGAAAAATATCAGGCAGTGTTTATTTGTTCCTTTTTAATGTATTTTAAAACTGGTAAAAAAAAGTCTGGTCCATTACTCATCATTCCTCAGCAACAGATTTAACCATTTTGTAAATTTTAAATCAGCATAACACATCAGAAAATATATAAATTATATTAAGTTAAACAGAAAACTTTTTATTTCAGTGTCTGAGAGGAACAGCTAAATGAAGTGCTGTGTCTTTGTGGCATCTTTCCTTCCTTGGCTTGGAATATTAGTGTCAACCAAAATTTATTTATAAATTGGAGGTGATTTCCAAACTAGTTAATCCTAAATAACACGCTCAGTGTTTAGGACTGTCCTGATTCATGTTTTCTAAAATATTATTCTTTAATAGCTGAGTAGGAAAATAGTCTTTTTCCTTTTAATTCTTGCCTTTAGACAATCCAAACTCCCTGTGTATAACAAGAAAGATGGAGAGAGTCAATATCTATAAACCACAAGATTCATTGGTTACTACTTTTAATTTTCAGATTCTTTAGGGACTTCATATGAAAAACATTCAAATTTCCTTATCACTCACTACAAACATGATGTTTAGAATTTATGGCCATTTAATATACATGCAGTGAGAATTTCATCAGCCTTATGTTATCTCCACTAATAAGCAATTGTCCAAGCAATCCATGATAAAGAATCATCAAGCATTAATGATTTGGCACAAATATTATACTAATGATTGATATAAGTATCTAGAAATGATTTTTAAAATTGGTTGATTAAGTGCCATCAAGTTAGTGTCAAGTCTTAGCAACCACATAGATATAGGATGATCTGTCCTCAGCCTGGCCTTTTAGGTCTTGGTGGTACAACCATTGCCATTACAGTTGAGTCCATCCACCTTGCTACTGGTCTCCTGTTCTTTTTTCCCCCACTTTTCTCAACACTATGGACCTCTCAAAGGAACTAGGTCTTCACATAATGTGTCCAAAATATTATAGTTTGAGCCCGGTAATTTGTGCCTTGAGTGAGGACTCTGGATTTATTTGTTCTATAATCCATTTTGTTTGTTTTCCTGGCTATCCATGTTATTCTCAAGAATCTTTTGAGCACCAAATTTCAAAAGCATCAGTATTTTTTCTGTCTTCCTAATAAATCTAACTTTCTCATCCATAAAGCATTCATTGTACAATTCTAATCTTTGTGGGTATAGATACCTCACAGCATTTCAATATTTTTTCCAAGGCCGTGAATTGCTACCTTACCAACTGCTAGTCTGTGAAGTATTTTTTGACTGCTGGCTTGTTTACTATTCATAGTCAATCCTATAGGAATCTCCTGGGATTCCTATTGTCCTAAGGACATTTCATAGCTTGACATGGCAGCGCTGTCAAAGACCTTTCTATAGCCAGTGAAGCACATCTGGCATCGCTTTTTCCATGTGCAAGTTTAATCTGCATTGGATGATTCTAAACATTTTACCAGCATGTGAAATCAAGGATACTGTGCAACAGTTTGCACACTCTAAATCTCCTTTCTTTAGTATTGGTATGTAGACTGATCTATTCCAGTCTGTTGGCCACTGTGGTGTTCTTCAGATTTGCTAACATTATTTGGTAGAAACTTTTATTGATTCTTTTTCTACAGTTTGCCATATTTCTATAGATATTCCATCAATTCCTGTGACCTTCCAACTTGATAATGATTGGAATGCTGATCTAACTTCATCTTCTAGAACTAGAGGTTCTTGTAATCAGGATATATCTTCTAAGGTATTTTATATGTTGACATTCCTACTATATAGAATGTTCATTATACTCCTTCCACCTCTGTTTGATCTTCGTTGAATCAATTACTTTCTGTCCATTGGTATCCTTTAGCATAGGAATTTGAGGATAGAATGTCCTTCTGAGCCTGGAGATTTTTTGGAAGATTTTTCTTAGTTTTCTGTGTTTCCATCTTGGATGTCTTTACAAGATATTGAAATACTGCTCCTTCTGTTTTTTTAACAGCTCTATGAAATTCTTTGTTAAATTCCTCCTGAGATTTTTGTCTTTATTGGTTTTTTTATCTTTTCTCTTCTTGGGAATAGCCACCATCTGTACTGACATCAATCCAGTTTGGTTTCTTCAGTTTTTTGGTCTTTGGCAGTCTCATTTCACATTCTTTGAAACAACAGCTCCTTTTATTTCATTCCACAGTTGCTCTGGTTTCCTATCAGGTACAGGACTTCAGAGCGATTCCTGATGTTGTCCCTTGAAAACAATAGGTAGATGCTCAAGATCATATCAGGGAAATTGGTTAGCTTTGTTCTTCCACTTTAGCTTGATTTGAAATTTGCATATGAGCAGTTTGTGATCCGTTCCACAATCAGACCCTGGCCACATTTTTGTATTTTATAACTGAGCTTTTCCACTTTCTTGTACCAGTAATATATTCAGTTTGCTTTCTGTGTGTTCATCTGGTGATGTCTATGCATATAGCCTTGTTTTGGTTGTTTGAAGAATGTGTTAGCAATGAAGAAATCATTGGATTGGCAGAAATGGGTAAGTTGTTCTCCTGCTTCATTTCTGTTCTCTAGGCCATACAGTCCAACTACATTTTCTTCCTTACTGTTTCCAGCTTTGGCATTCCAGTCTCCAATCACAAGCAACACTTCTTGTTTGGACATTCTGTCGATTTTGGCTTGAACTTGACTGCAGGACTCATCAACTTCCTCCTCTTCTGCATAAGTGGAATTTGAATAACCATCATATTATATTGTCTGTGGAATCTAACTGATATTCAGTCATTGAGTACTGACTTTGCTATATCTTTCCTGACTATGAAAGCAATACTTTCTTCTTAGTATTTCATGTCCTGAATAGTAAAAAGTATGATCTTCTGATTGAAAGTGCCCAATGTCCAGTCCATTTCAATTTGCTGATGCCCAAGATGTCAATGTGTAGTTTATTCTTTTAATCTTTTACTGTATTTGAACCTTCCCATGTCCATGCTTTTTAAGTTCCATGTTCCCACTGTAATTCTGTCTTTGCAGCTTTGGATTTTCTTTTACTGCATGGCTATATCAGCAACTAGATTTCCAGAAGGCTTTAAGCTAGTTGCATCATAAATACCATTAATACTCCAAAAGGTCCTCAGCTTTTCCTCAATATTATGCTGAGTGC